ATTAACAGGAGTACAGAAGGAAGATTTTGGAAAATATCAGTGCATTGCAAATAACAGCATTGGAAGAAGCCAATCAGAGGTGGCTTTCCTAAACAAAGGTGAGAATTTTTTTTTAATTGATACGGAAAAATTGCCGACGCAAGTTCATTTCGGCTCTTTGATGACTGCTTCTGGTGTACAATTCCTTAAATTAATAAAAACATTTTTAATCAAAGGATCGAGAAAAAGTAAGCAGTGTTTTCTGTAAACTGTTTTAGGAAACTTTTAACGCCCTCGCTTAAGTTTCACCTGCTTCTGCACTAGCTTAGTCATCTTGTCATTAAGATCTCTCGAAGCTTAGTCCTCTTTGAAAGAGTTTTTTCGACCATCGCACAGAATGCCTGGACATCATCAACTATTCACGAGCACTGAAGCGCGGGGAGATTTGAATGAAATCGAACCTTGAAAAGCCCAGAATAAGAGAAGAAAGCACCGAAACTAACGAAGCAGTGTTTATAAAACTCGCTTTCTCAGTAGCCAAAAGCGCGATGATCCCGAAGAACAGCTACTAATGAGACAACTCATAACGTCACATGCATCAAAATGAGTCAAATACATTATTTTTATGTTAATTTGCAGATGTCCAAAAACCTGAGATTGTTCAAGGTCCAAAGAACCAAAGTGCCTCGATCGGTTCTAATGCTACTTTTAGTTGCACTGCTAAGGGCTTCCCGAGGCCAACAATCCAATGGATCAAGGATAATGTTTCATATCATTTACAGGCTAATCCCAGAGCAAGTGTTACTCTAGACGGGCCAACGAATCGTAGTCAGCTGTTCATAACCAGAGTAGAGATGGAAGATTATGGCAATTATCAGTGTCTTGCAAAAAACAGCGTTGGAAGAAGCCACTCAGGAGAAGCTGTATTAAGCAAAGGTGATATGTCAGTTTCGAATAAAAATCGCGAAGGCCTGTATTTCACAAGTTTTTCCTTCCTATGCACTCCTCCCTATTCCTCGGCTGTTTTTTCGTCTTCTATTTTTGGCTTTCATTTATATCTTTTTCAAGTTATAACTCTGACTGATTTTTATTATTATCATTACTATTATCATAATTCAGTATTATTGTTATCATTGTTATTACTATTATTGTTACCAATATAAGTAATGGTATTCTTCACATGCTTGAGATTTAAGACTTCAGATTCTAGAGAAATTTATACTTTTTTAATAATTTATCCACAGCAACTACTACCCCCACACCTGTCACGGAAAGACAGCTGGAAGATTCAGCATCCCACACTACTATAATCGCTGTTTCATGCGTTTTGATAGCTGCACTTATCTGTGTAGTCATTGGGTTTCTGTGGAATCGGTGTAAAAATCGCGATCACATACATGCCCAATACACCCAAACCGTTGCGATTCGTCTACGGTCGTTGACGAATCGTCACACCGAAAGTCGAATCTTGCGTGAAGATACCGGATTTTGAGCGGTGTGAGCAATGAGTGAAAATGATTAGCATGGTACGAATAAATGAAAACATAAACTTCCCTCTTTCTTAAAGCGTGAAACGGCCGAAAGTCCGTTTTCAGAATATTATATTAGGTATGGGTCGCACTTGTGCAAAGTCAACTTTGCCGGCAAAAAGACCACAGAAAATTTGAAACCGCAACCGGAAGGCAAACTTTTGGTTTCAACTATCAGGGTCGCACTAGGTGAAAAAAATATCAGTGATGACACTCTGATAAATCAGACACACGTTTATCGACGTGTTATGGGGAGGGAGCAGTGAGCTGAAAAAGGAAAACAAACGTTCAAAAATGCGTCCCGTTGAAGCATTGTTAATAACGATCGCGGTGATGCTTATTCAAATCACGAGCACTTTTTTGTCTTTCCTATGATCTATGAAAGCCGGGTTAACGCATGTTTAACTATTTGTACTGCCGCTATGATGAGAGCGAGAAATCGACGTCAGCGAAGATTACTTACAGCGCCATATCCCTGGTCAGTTCCGCGACCAGTCGAGTCGTTTCCTCTTTACTGACAAGCTATGACAGTTACCGCTGTGATAGCTATTGTTTAGCCCGAGTTTTCCGAAATCTGCCTGCGCCACCCAGGCACTACGGCGTCTTTGATGTTTTGGTCGTTTTTCAAAGTTTTTGCGAACTGGAAGAGTTAGGGTCGCATTAGGCAATGTGCCCCGATGACAGATTTTTACACCAATTTGACCAACTTCACACTAAACCTTGCCAAGTGCGACCCTGCCTTAGTTAAAAAATACAGAGGTAGAAAATGTTGACGAATCGACGCGATTCGCGCGGATCGACTAGACTCGTCCTCAGTAAAGTAAATCAGTCTCACCGGGAGTCGAATGCAGAAAAACACAATACACACTTACGCGTTGACGATTTGCACGGGTGGACTCAACGCGTTCTCTAGTTGTATGTATGTATGTAAATCTTTATTTAAACACCGGGAAATCATCAGTTAAGTTTAAGTTAAAAACTAATACTAATTACAACTGCTTTATATGATTACCGTGTGGGAATCCGATATATTAACTACCTTCTTGATATTTGGCTTAAAATGCTCAACGGATGAAGTATTTTTTAAGCTTTTGGACAAGTCATTCCATAACATGGCCCTGCTGTAAGAGAAGCTTCGTTTCAAATAATTGGTGCTTTGCTTGGACAGGGTTAGCCTTCCCTTAGAGTTTCTTAAGTTGTAAGCAAAGTGACGCTGAGAGAAGAGATTTTGAAGATATTTGGGAGTAAGGTCATTCATGATTTAATACATCACTAAGGCTTTTTGTTTCTTTCGTCGAAGAGATAGCCTCTCTCAGTCCAGGGTGGGGAGAAGGTGGTTTGAGCTCGTATCAAAGGGTGATTTAATAATAAATCTGGCTGCACGATTCTGTAATTTTTGGAGCTTATCACTCAAGTAACCACTCAAACAGTCTCAGACGGTAGTAGTAATCAAAATGAGGCATAATTAAAGCGTTATAAATTTGAATTGCAGTTTCTTTGGATATAAAGGGCCGCACACGTTTTAGGGCGCCTATAGCTGAAGAGATTTTGGTACAGATCACTTCAACGTGCTTACCCTAAGAGAGTTGGGTCTTATCGACTCTTTTGATAATTTGGTAATTCTGATTTTTGCATCGTCACATTCGGCAGATGGTCTTTGTCTTGATCCAATAGTCACTACCTCTGTTTTAGCAACTTGATCCAACATTAGCTCTGTTTTAGCAACTTGATCCAACTTGATCCAACAGTCATTAGCTCTGTTTTAGCAACGTCATAGACTGAGCTTGTTAGCTTCCAGACAACAGCTATGGTTATTTAATTCAGGGGTTAGAGCTAGCTAAAGCTCTGTTAACGTCATAGCAGATAACGTCAGATTGGAGTAATCGGCAAACATTCTCGGTACAGCGCCCCGCAGGGAGTTGGGAAGATCATTAACGTAAATTAAGAATAGCAGAGGTCCCAATATACTACCCTGAGGCACGCAGTAACTGAAAGTACGAGCAGATGATAGTTTGCCACTTACACGACATCTCTGGGTTCGGCCACTTAAGTACGACAAGAACCACTTTATAGCTGCCAGATCGACACCCAAGTATGACACCAGTTAAGTCTATGTCGATTCTCACAACCACTGTATGAACATTTAAGCGTCAGAGGTTAGTGGATGAAGGTTGTTAAATCTTGATGAATCTCCACGATTTTCACGGATCGAATCGAATCGTCTCAAGGATACTTGACTCGTCTCATTCGAATTAGATAAATGAGCATGAACTTCTTCCGTCTACCATAGGAAGATAAGGGCACTATAAGTGTGGACGCACGCTACATTTCGATTTTCTTTTGGACCATCCATTTTCTGCGCACAAGGTAAGTTTACAGAGCTCTGAAGACACAGATCACAAGAAAACATGACACACCGTTTTTCTTCTCTCGCTCTTCAAGGGATGAATTGGGACAGCTCGCTTTACAAGTGTACAATATACAAAAACATCATACACATCTGATATACCTCTTTCTTAGCGTAAAGTCGGAAAGTCATTGTTTGTCAAGAGCTAGTGCGCAGCACAGAGAAGCGTCTAACTAGTTCTCTAATTTAGCCACGAAGAGATTCTGCACACTACAGTGGAACCTCGATTATCCGGACCACTGGGGACTGGCCCGAATAGTCCGGATAGTCGAGAGTCCGGATAATCGAGAGTCCGGATAATCGAAAATATTAATATTAATGAGTCAACACTGAATACATTTGTAAACCGTAACACTTAATTAAGAATCATGCAAGAATGAACCACAATCACAAGCCATTTCTGATTACAATTTACTACTGTGCGTGTTAGGCGCGTTTAAGGTCACTCGGGAAATAACCTTGCCCAAAATTGTCTTTTGATGCCAAACAAATTCAGTTCTGACTGGAATTTTATAACAGTTCGGCGTATGATAGCTTTCCTATGGATAATAAATGTGACTAGTTGATATTCATGAAAAAAGGGGACCAGAAAAGCTAGTCCGGATAATCGAGAAATCCGGATAATCGAGGTCCGGATAATCGAGGTTTGACTCTACAAGAGCGCAAATCAACAAGTGTAAGCCACATGGAAAACAGTTCATGGGCGCATGATTCTCTCAATAGCTCTTTTTCTTAGGCCACTGGTTTTTTTTTGTGTGTGTGTGTGTTTAGCTGCAACCGTTAAGGATTCCCTATCCATTCATAATGGCATGTTATTCGGTACCTGGGACAGACTTCCAGCTGACCGTGATTGTGCCCTGAGATTAAGAGGAGGCTGGTGGTACCTGTACTTTGATAAATATTGTACTGTTTCCTCAAATCTCAACGGGATCTATCCTCATCGTGGAAGTAATTCTCGAATTCACTGGGCAAATTTAAACCGTGAAGCTAAAAACACCAATCCCAGATCAACTGAAAGGAAAATCAGACCAGTGGACTTTTTTTAAAACCTTCATCCTGAAGGACTTTTTATTTATTTTTTTTTTTGCGTGGGCGAGTGGAGGGGAAGGATTTTGTTTGTGTCAGGATTATTTTTTTTCAGATTCGCTTATAAGGCTCTGTAATCGCATAGTGCTGTGAAGGGAGAGTCAAATTTAAAATGTGGTATAGCTATCTAAGATTTATCAGGGAACGTGATTATTTTAAGAAGTCTTGATGAAAACAAAACGCAAATTTCTTTTTTTGTAGCAAGTCTGTACCAGTACTGACTACGCCTGACCCTGCCGTCAATCAGTTAGATCCAAAAGTAAAATCCTAGAGGCATTAATTGTAATTAGGTTAAGTCGACTTCACATACGATAAATCAGATTGATTTTAAGGTAAATTGTTAACGTTATGTGAAAACGTTGAGATAATTATGTGCAGTAAATAAATGAAATCATAAAAACCTTCTGTATGTATATCATCGCCAACTATTCCGGTCACGAGCCTGCGGTAGGCAGGCGGTTTCATAAAAAAATGTCTGTAAACATCGCTGCCGATTTTATAGAGAAATGTATGAAAGGCACGAAAAAACTGTAAATATTCGCAATCATGAAATATTTTTTCAATTTGCCGGATCGGGATATTGATACTAAAAGTAAAAGCAATCTGTTAAATAATAAACAACCATAAAACGAGTGTGGTAAACCCTTCCTTTTACTATCTCTCGAAAACGAAGGTATATTCCATACAAACCTCATAATTTAGGTGGCGAAAACGCGTGAATCCTAAGCACCGGCGTGGCCTAAATCTTTTCCAGAGCTAGGTGCTCAATTGCCGGACTGGACCTCTGTAGTAGACTCTCTCCAGGTTCAAAATTTAACTTTTGAAGCTCAGAGCGACTTTTAAGCCCCTTCACTTTCTGGCCGCAAAACAATAGAAAATTAACAAAGTGAAGTCCACTATAAAACTGCAAAATCCCCTGTTTTCGAATGACGATATCTTGACTGTCTTTTGTCCAAATTTCTTGAAAAAACCCTCGTTTCAAAGCTAATTTTATGGACTACGTTATTTGAAGCAAGTTTTTTTCCTCAGCGGCTTTGATATGTGTTAAAATCTTGGTTATATAAACAATATATTCTGTACCTCACTTCGCGGCGATATGAGCCAGTTGATTAAAGAGGAAGGACAGCGGAAAGAGGGGCGTCTCGTAAGGCGCGCTGAATTGTCGTGACCGAAATAGTTGGCGATGAAATGATGTTTGTGGTAAAAGTTAGCAATATCACTCAAGTCTCAAGAACTATGCAAACCTCCTGACCGCTTCTTGGGTTTGTAAAGCTTTCTCGAAATTTGCAGGCTCCCATCGGGTTTAATTGAGGCTATGTTAACATGGTAAAAGTCCGCCATTGCTTAATTATCTAATTAAATGTTGTTAATATTGATTCATCGTAAGCCTTTCATAGATTAAGTCGAAAGCAATCCTGAAAAAATGCAGATGATGGTTTAACATTCAAATGAAAGTATATTTGAAATGTACACAGATGTGTCGCCTAATTTAGTAGAATGGAAAAGAGTAGGGTCGTGATCGAAGTCACTCTCCCGAAGGATCAATCGCTTGGTTGGAAATTTGCACTATTTTTCTGTTATGTTTTTCCATGTTTGGATGAAGTTGCGTAAACACGGAAAGATCCTCCATTGTTTAAATTAATGTTATTGTTGGTCCGTGAAACAAACCAGAACTACTGTGTATAGATGGACACGCTC